ATTTTAATGTGATGTTTTCATCTGTTTATTCTTTATATCATTATCATTTATCTTTCATCATTATTATTACAGGTGGCTTTCAAAAGTCATTAGAAGTCATCACCCTCTGCTCGTCCGTGTAATTCGATCATCTATTACAGGCTACAATCGTGATAACACCTCAAATCATCTTTAAAAGAAATCTCGTCGACCCACCCTCCTGCGTAGGGTATTATGTTTCAACAAACAACTTATTTTATAATGTTAACAACCAGTCTTTCTAGTTTATGCAAATGTCACTGTCAAAATAATATATGAAATAATTAATTCTGTCCAAGACAAGAAAATCTTTATAATATTTACAGCTCTAGAAAATCATGACTATTATGAGAAGCCAAGTCTGTTGTAATCAAGGGCCACTAATTGCAAAATAATTAGCAGAGAGAAAGGAAGGTTCTCTTGAACTCTTAAACAAAATGTTTTTCCCTTTTCTTAGTAAAGCGTATGTGCTAGAGGACAATGGTGATAATGGAGGCTGCTAAACTTTATCGACAGCTTACGAAAGCAAAATTTTAATGAGATCTGTTATCAAAGAAAGACAACAAAATACTATGCAATGTTTTATAGATCTAGTTCAATCATAGACCAATTGTCTATTTGTTGTGAATCATTTTATTTGGAAAAAAACAAACTCCTAAGTTTATGCTGATGGAAAATGCATAAGCAAATGTCTTCTTAGAGAACTTGTGATGGATATAAATTAGTGCATAATGAAATAAATAAATAATTAATTATAGATGGTGTGTAATATATATATTCGGTATTTGATATTAGTTTTTGGAGAGATTATTATGTGTGGAGTTCAGACACAGAGAACCGTTCGATTTCGTAACTGTGACAGTAAAAGCGTAGGGGTGAACAATAAAAGCGTAGTGGTGAACATTAACTGTCATTTTACTGTTCACATTCACAAAATCGAACAGTTCTTTATGTCTGGACTCCGCACGTAATAATCTCTCTAGTTTTAAAATTTAATAGCTAAAAAAACTCATCTCCTAAGAAAATTTTATGAGGAAAATATATGTGGATATTATTTAATTATATTTATTTTCCTATAAAATTAAGATAATTATGATTATGCCAATTCATAAAGGTGAGGTCACGAGTGGCTAATTAATTTTATGTGATGGTGGTGGGGAATAGAGATTTTTGGTTTATTTTAGAAGCTGAATTCATTGCATTTGGTGTTGCATCTACCATGATTAAATTTATTGTCATGCTTAGTTTTAAATGGAAAGCATGTGCTAACATTTGTACTATGTTGTTATAGTGAAATTAGTATAACGAAAAGAAAGAATTTTATGAGAATTATCATGACTTATTGAATGAAACTTTTCAAACTAGTGTGTTTCTCGTCACTATATATTTTTGGAGAACCAGATCCCTTGGTTTTCATCACTAAAAGATATTATGATGAATTTTTCATGAAAGGTTGATGACATTCAAATCGGTATTTTTCGTCGTTTAAGAGTCACTATTACCGGCAGTTTGCAGATAACCCGTCGGAAAAGTTCGTCGGTCTATGTCTAGTGGAAATTTTTGGCAGGTGATCCGTCAGAATTGGCAAAATATTCTGTCGGAAATACGATACATTTTTCATCGTATCTCCATTTTCATGTGGATATCTTACCGGAAATTTGTTGAATACATGTAGAAAAAAAAAACAGCACTTCATATTATGTTTATATTATTATTTAACTCTTGTGAATCTTTTAGTGCTTTATGCCTATTAGATGAATTTTTTTAGAGGCATTTCATTTATTAACTCTTGAATATATGGATATTTTAACTTACAACTAATGCAAAGTTTAATGTGGACGATAGCTTTACTTTGTTTTCCTAATTAATTTCAACATAAAATCTTAAATCTCGAAATAAAACTTTTAGCCTGGTGTGGAATGTGAAAGAATTTGGAAATAATCAAATCATTAACAAAAAGATTAATTTTTTATTTATTTTACTTACACCAATAATCTATATGATATTTTAAAATATTATTTATAAATATTTTAAAAATATGTTCATAAAATATTTAAGTAGATAAATCTAATAATATTTAAGTAGATGAATCTAAGGGATGAATACATTAGATCATGGTTGGCATTAAGTAGATCTAATAATATTTAAGTAGATGAATCTAAGTGATGAATATTATAGGGTTATTTTCTAGTTTTAAGCATGGTTTGGTTAGATGGGTTAGGATAAAACAAACTAAAAATTTCTTTTTAGGTTGAGGTGGATGAAGTTCACTCTACTTTTCATTCATGGAGGTAGCCTCCATAATGCCAAGGTTGGGGTAGCCTTGGTCACCAAGTCAAACTCATTAGGTTCAATTCAAAGGGGTTGCTTAGGTCCATCCAATATGTGGTCATGTAGATTAAGGTTTGAACTCTTAAAATATTAACTTTTCTCTTAATATTTTAATAACAAATTTTATAATGAGACTAATGCATGGATCCTTGAATAATATATCAACATTGATGAGAAGATTACATAAAGGGTGTGGAGCAATAGTGGAGATTAATTCTAAATTTACATTCACCCTTTTTGTTCTTAGTTGTGTCCACTGTCTGACATTGCCGTGGGGCCGGGGCTGCCTTCGCGTCAAGCGGCTCAAGCCTCCGTCACTAATCGCTGGTTCGCTGCCCTCACACGTTTGCTTCCATGAGTGCCCTCGCAGGACCGGTGCTTCGTCGTCGCATCAAGTGGTCTCCGCTTGGCCGCTGCCTTGTCGTCGCATTAACCCTTCGACAGTTCGGCCCAAGATCGAAACTCGAAAGTAACAACGACGACGGGAGGAGCAGGTCGGTTTCGGGTTCAAAAAACTAACATATTTGCATAAACAGGTCGAATTCATGTCAATTTGAATAATATCGTGTCAATTTCGGATTCGAGTTGAACCCGATTTTTTACCCTATTTTGACAGCCTACCTTAAATGTCACACTGATCTAGAGGAAAATAATAATGACAACCAACAATCATGAGAGTGATGATTTAACGCTTATGCTAAAAGAGTTTGCAACAATAAAATGCATTAGATAATTCAGGCGCTGAGAAGGAGGATGATGTCGAAGAAGAACATGAGGAACATAATGATGATGATGATGAGTGTTAAGATGAGGATGACTAAAGAGTTTTTTTTTTCAATGTATTTTGAATTTACATTTTTTTCTTTTATAAATTTCAAATTAAACATTTTTTTGACAATCATGCTTTTCAATTTATTTTTTTTATTTGAAAGGGTGCATACCATTAAACTTTATATTACCTTATGTTCAGACTTTCAATTCAGATGCTTATAACTCAAAATTCATTGAGGCCTTATATGGTTGCCTCATACCTTTTGTAAAAGATAGTTTTAAAAACATCTATTGAGAGAACGAAGGTTCTTAACGGATAAGCACATACAAAAAAAAAGCTTTGAAAATCTGTAGAAAAATGAAGTTTCGTAAAAAGTATTTAAACCCTAAAGCAATACATTCAAACGGTCAGAAATATCAATCATTTACGATTCGCCCCCATCGCAAAAACTATAACAATGCTTAAGTTATTCGAATTTTTTTAGGCATTTTGTGACATGCGTAGCAAATGGAGACCAAAGTTGCTCACAATAATATGTGACCAAATATTTTGCTGCTTTTTTTTTTTGGAAGCTGATAAAAAAATGAACTGCAAATTATTTTAAATTTATGAATTCAAAATATTTTGAAACTTGATTTACTTTAAAATAAATTTTGATGAATTTCAAATTTATCTATTTTTTACTAAATTTCAAAATATATTGCACATTAATTCTGCTCTCGTCGTCAATCACCAAACACCACTACCCCTGGCTAGCCTCCAACCACCTCCACTACTTGTTTGTTGCAGCTGCAACAATCCATCACCGCCACTCGTCATTGCCGCCTACATTGTTCTTCACTACCGCTCACCATGGCCACTCGCCATCACCTTCCACCATTGCCATGCACCCCTACCTCCATTGCTACTGTGGACTGCTACATGCCTCTACCGACCACCACTATTGTCATGCTTTGCATTGCATTTATTTTACTATCAACTAAATAAAAATACTTCCATTTCTTACATTAATCTAAAATACTTCTAAACATTCTAAATACATTGTATTCATTGTACTATGTATTTTTCTTTTAATCACACTAAAAGTGGCAAAATTTTCAAACAGTGCGTAACATCCTATAACATTTACATTGTTTTTCATTGAAAATTTGATAAAAATTATATTAAAAAAAAAGTGTTCAGTTTTTTTTTTGTGAATTTTAATATTTATGTGAGTATTTAAAAAATAATAATACATAAATAAAAAATAAAATTTTAAAATATTATATATATATAATTGTCTCTAAAAAAATAACTTTTGGTTCAAAATAATGAATCATATAAGGCTGAATGAGAGAGAGAGAGAGGTGGGGGAGGGGGAGAGAGAGATCATTAAACTCTACCCTATCTTCATAATTCTTGAGAACCACAATACGGATCACAACCAGATAAAAGAAAATTTATTCTGAGTGGATACCGGACGACATCCAAAGACCAATCATAATGTGTTCGGTACCATTGTGTACCTAATGACATGAAGCATTCTGATTGGTCTCTGAATTGTCCAGTGTCCGCACATAATAATTTCTCCAAATAAGGAACAACGACCACTCTCAATTATAAGAGAAATTATTTTATATGGAATATGGATGCAGAGTTGCATTTGAATATATGAATATACATAATGTATATACACTACAAAAATATAAAAATATATAGCATATGCACACTATGATACTCAGTTACTCACCATCTAAATGCAACTCTTCGTCGGGATTCCTCACAAAATAATTTCTTCAATTTTAAACCTACAGAAAGCGTTAAAAATCAACAAAGAAAATGCTAAAATACATTGTCACATTATTAACAGCCTTTCACATCACAGAGATGCCGCCAACTGCTACGTTGACGCCACTGTAGAAGTAGTGGTATTCGTCGCTGACGACGTCCGAGACATTAACGTTGGCTTGATAAGAACCGTCGGTATGCTGCTCCCCTTCCTCCTATCGTGCTCCGCGATTAGCTCACCGCAAAACCATTCCAATCTATCTCCATTGGTCTTCTCCAATACCTTTCTCCCCCTAAATAGCACCGAATCGACGCTCCGCTGGCTTAGCAGCATTTCCTCCACGGCCGGCACCGGCGGCGGCGGCGGCGACGGTGACTTTCCTGCGCTTGCAGGGCGGTGTGCCTGGAATACCCCCATATTCAGCTCTTGACTTTGCCATAATACCCCGCATGAGAACTTTTCCGTAATTAAAATTTTCCTTTTGAAAATAAAATTATTTCGAAAGAATTGCTTTAAAATCCTATAATTGGTAACAAATTATTTTTTAATATGCTATTGAATAAATAAAATAAATAAATTTTGATCAATGAATGCTTAATTTAATTTCACTTTGTGATCTTCACCTCAATGCGGACATAGTTCGTCAGCCTGCTTTGTCGGAAGGCCATTGCCACTGCTTGATCGACCTGTAAGGAGACAGCCCTTTCCGGTAAGGGCTCATTTGATTGATTGTAAATAAAAAAAAAAAAAAAATTTACATACATATCATTTTATTTCATACTATTTATATATCTAACATTTAAAATATTAATATTACAAATATATCACTTATAGACGACTTTAATATCAAATATATCACTCCTATAATATATTTTCTATCATTCATATCATCCTATAAATTTTAATATTTCCTTCTATGCATTCAAATTTGTTATATGAATGACAGATATGTAATATTAATATTTTAAATATTAGAATATAAATAGCTAAAATTAAGAAAATAAATAGCTAAAATTAAGTGATATGTCTGTAATATTAATAGCTAAAAAAAATATGTTCTAAGAACCAAAAGATTTTATTTTCTTATTTAAAAAATGAGAAAATTTTTAAAAAATAATATTAATTTATAATTACATGCTAATTAAGAAATCGAACAATTTTGGAAAAATATTCCCCATCTTAAAAACAATCATAGATCGCAGTCTCAACTGAGACTTATCAGTTTCATTCTTTTTCAAGTGAAACGATAAAGTTTTGTTTAGGATAGTTTCTCATTAATTTTTAAAGTAGCTATTTAATATAAAAATTTTGTGCTAAAAAATAATTATTAAAATAATAATAAACCTCAAGGTAAAAGTTGCTGATGAGGTAAGTTTAATATTTTAATTTTTTTTATTTTTTTATTTTTATTATGGACATTGGGTCCCATACCATTTCTGCAGCGGCGTCCCCGGCAATTTTTAAAAGCTTCGCCGCAGCCGGCGGTCCAATATCCTCCGCGCCATTTCCCAGCGAAACCACAAGAAGATCTTCAACACCGGCGGCGAAGGGAAACTCAACCGTATTGTTCAGCACATGAGTTATCGCCATCGCTGTGGGATTCCGCATTACAACGCCGCCGCCGACGGCATCAATCCGCGTCCTGCCCTCCACCGATCGTATCACCAATCTCGCCTTCTCTGAGCACGTCGCCGCACACACTTCGGGAATCGAGAAATCAAATGCGTCCGCCTCAACCGCATCGGCCCGCGAGAACACAAACGGAGACCCCGTCGCTAGGTCGTAGCAGGGGATCAGCACTGGCTTGATCGTGTCCCGAAGTGTCGATTCCCCAAACAATCGCCGGAAAATCCCCCCCGATCGACGGAAAATTCCCTTTCTTCCAGCGGAAGAGAGTTTCCGTCGGTTCTTCATGATGAATCGAAGCGCGTCGCCGGCGGAGAACAGTGGACGGCCGCTTGGGGAGCGGGTGAAAAGCATTGCCGTGAGGACTCCACCGGATCCTGATCCCGCAGCAATGTCGAAGAAATCGGCGATTCTGGCCTCGGGATTCCTACATTGCTTAGCAAGGGAGGCTTCCAGGCGGGCCAGGGCAACGGCGGCGAAAACGCCAGTGCCGGCGTCAATTGAGAGAATACGGACTTTGCCGGCGCTTAAGGGCCTCGGAAACTTCCCTGGGGTCTTTGGCAGGGTTGCAGCGACAATAGTGTTTGGATCGTCATAGCCAAATAGAAACTTGCTCTCCAGAATGGAGAAGATCTCGTAGCTAAGCTTGTTGATGTCGTGGCTGGAATGAATTATCGCCGACGTCTCAGCCGCCATTCCTAGGGTTTCGATATCAGACTTCGATTGCAGTGACGGTTCGAGCTCTAGGTCTGCTTTTATATAGCAAGAAGGTAGGAGAAGGGGCGTAGGCGAACATGTGAGACTGACGCAAGTTAGCTACGTCAAGCGACTAATGTTTTTGTCCGGATTACAGCAGGAAGAGCCATTTAGGGTAATTTCCTTCAAGCAGTGAAGAAACTGTGAAAATCGAAGGTACTCTTGAACTTCTTTCTATCCCAAATGGCTTCTATTTTTTATTGTAGTTAATATAGACTTGGTTTAACGATGGAGGTCCATGATTTTTAATGGTGGACCTTCTATTTTTTTTTTGACAGTATGGGTAGTCAATTTTTTACTGAATCCAACCTGAATCCGACATGAAAAAATCTGGATTCGAGTTGATCAATTCGATTGATTCAAGAATTGGGTTAGATTGCACAGAAATTTGAAAATGGCCCGAAAATGGCCTGCCTGCCCTGCCCGTGTTGCCTGACTCGTCGAGTCACGTCATGGTGTCCCGTCTCTTCTTGATGCGACTCAGTCGCCATGCCGCGTCTATTCCGTCTCTTTGCCCGACCCGCCACCGTTGATGTCGTTGTCGTCGGCGCTGTTGTTGCCGCTACCGTCGGCGCTGTTGTTGCTGCTGCCATCGTTGCGGCCGATGCGTCATTGCTTCGTCGCCAGCTTGAATCAGAAACCAAAAGGCGGAAGTAACGATAGGAGCTTAGATCACATAAATCCTTATCAGGTCGGGTCAACCCGACAACCCGATAGGTTGGGTCCATGTTGCATTTTCTGGCTCGTTTGCAAAAATGGGTAGGATTCCAGTCGTGTCAAATAGCGTTGGGTTAGTTTTGAGTTCGACCCGAACCCAACCCGTTGACTCGAATTGACACCCCTAAATAAGAGTTGTAATCCTCTTACCCTCGACCCCTTCATAGAAAAATGGGCTAGGTTGACCCTTGCTTGAGTCAGTGTTCAATTTTTTATCTAATCTATATTATTTGAGTACATAACCCTAACCATTAAAGGAAAATGTGTCCTTCAGTCATTTTTGCATGAAAGAAACCCAACACCTTTCAATGCCTATGACACTTTTGCAAATGATGGCTTTAGTTACCCTAAATCTTCTAACTACCAACCACCAACATTACCGACAACCAATCTTTGGAAGGGCAGAAGTCGTAACAAAAAATATAAGCATTAATAATGTAACAACCTGATAATTATTCAAATAAATTTAAAAAGAGAATCTAAATTTTTGTCTAAATTTGAGTACTACAGCACTGTGCTTTAAAGTGCAGTGGTGCTAGAAATTACCGTCGCGACATCGAAGGTTTTTTTGCATAGTAATTCTAGATTCAGCATGCAACATGACGGTGTTGGCTTCCTTGATCGCTGCGGCACCATGCATAATTAATATACTTTTTTTTATATAATTAAATCAAGAGTTTTTTCACTCACTCCTCCCATCCTTACCTCATGTTGTGGCTTTGTCATGGAATGATAGAAGATAAAGGGAAGTAATAAGGAGAGAAGAAAGAGAAAGCTTGGTTTTTTTTACCATCGATTCATTTCATCGCTTTTATAAAAATTGATTATATCATTGTAGATGACTTCTCTCATATTTTCACTATCAAAGATTTTGATTTCACCGTTGGATTCCTCTAAATGTGATTTGAATTGCATTTTTCATAGATTTAGTTAACTTATACTATGTAACTTTTTATATGTTATAGTATTGATTATTCTGGACATTTTGAATGGTTGATTTTAAAATTTCACCATTTAAAATAGTAATTATTACACTTTACATTATTCACACATAATATTATTTTTTGTATTTTAATACAAGTATATTGTCAATATAAGCATTGCGAATAAATAGGGATATGTGATTGATTAATATTTAGTTGCTATTACTTTTGATAATATAAATACTAAAATAAGTAAAGACTAGCTATTTAATGATGTTAGATAGAAGCTAACTAATTTTATATCACATATAAGATATTGATTTGATACATATATAAAATGGCTGAAGATCATATGTATACTGATTTAATAGTATTGCCTTGTTATAGAATCTGACAGTCTTCATAGATGTTTCAATTTTATTGATTTATATGATTTTTTTTATTGATTGGATAACACTAGTGCACTACCATTTCGTATGAATTACATTTGTACTGGATTTACTGGTTTATAGATTTTATTATTTTTGGTATTGCACTACTTTTTTTGTCTTTGTACTGTATTGATTTACCAATTCACATATTTTATCATGTAGTATACATTTTATTATTTCTTCACAAATTTATGATCATATTGACTAATAATATTATGAACTGAATTATTATTTGCATATTATTTTGAGTTCAATTGTAAGATGGTAATGTAATGCCATGCTAATTTTTTTAACTCATTATATTTAGTTTAATAATTTTAGGTCATGAAAGAGAATAATGAGTATGAGACTAATTAGTTATAGGATAACTTAGGTTTTACTTTTTTTTTAGTTATTATTTTATACTCATAAGTGGAAAGAATAATTATTGTAATTATATGACTCATAAGTATTACATATGTATATTGATTTTTTTATCAATAAAAGTTACTTTCAATTGTATTTCATTTTTAAAGGAAATTTTGATGGCTTTAGTTGTTATTATTAAAGAAAAAAGAAATAATTCTTTTTAATTAAATTTTATGGTGTGACAAACTTGATATCAGAGCAATGGTTATATGAAAAATTTAATTATTATTAAAGTTGTAGTAATTAATTATGAGTCAGGTAAGATTGGATAGATTAAGGTGTATTATTTTGCATACATAATTGATTGTATGTGTGAATTATTAAAGCAGAATTTTTGCAAGTGAACAATTGAAATAAATATGCTAGAGGAAATGTAGAGCAAATGTATAGATAAACAAAAAGAAAAAAATATATATATATAGAAGAGCAAATGTACCAAATGAACATATATTACAGCTCCAGTACCATAAGATTGGTAGCATATACCTTTAACTATAGTGAATATATTAATTGTGAAAGAAAGGCATTCAAGTATGTACTACATATTGGCATGATGATGTTTTTAATATGGGTGGCAAGGACACAAGGTAGCATATTGTGTAACATGATCTCAAACTTTTAATTGTCGAGATATTATTCGATTTTGGCCTAAGGGCCTCACAGTTTTGTCATATTAATGTAACTTCCCAAGAGGTCACACATATCAGGATTTCTTCAAAATGAGCACGCTTAATTGTGAAATTTCTTAATAAAATTTTAACAATTACACCAAAATGCACCTCTATGTTTAAGAGTTTAGGTTCTTTTACTTACGGGATTTCATAATCACCCTCACTTAAATAACTAACATCCTCGTCAGTATATTTATCCCAAAATCATCAACCAGATAGATAGGATTCCAGAGGTGACCCTACAAGTTCAAGTGGCGACTCTCACCACATAGCATTTTGTCTAATACAGGGTTCAAGAGGTGGCTCTTATGGCATAACAATTTATCTTGTATGACACTTAGTTTCCATCTTCCAACTGGTGTATTGCTATGATATTATTTATAACATCACAAATTCTTAACTATCAATATATTGTCCGCTTTGGTCTAAGGGCCTAATGATTTTTCTTTTCTATTGATGTAACTTTCCAAAAGGTCACTCATCCCAAAATTTCTCCCAAATGAGCACGCTAAACTGCATGCTAGGGGTGTTAATATTGGACCTGACCCGAAAATTTCGGGTTTGGGTTGACCCGAACCCGAAACGGGTCGAGTTCGGGTTGACATGTTGACCCGAAATTGATCCGAAAATGGCTCGTTTTGACCCAAAAACTCGTTCCTGACACGGGAACCCGAGATTGACCCGATTTTGACCTGTTTTGACCCGAAAAGCAGAGTTTGACCCGATTTGGACCCGAAAACTAGTAGTTTTTTTTGTCCGACCCGGGTCATTTTGGTCGGGTCGGATTGACCCGGACCCGAAGCGGGTCGGATTGATCCGGACCCGAAGCGGGTCGGGTTCGGGTCCAAAAAACTGACTAGTTTGCATAAACAGGTCGGGTTCGGGTTGACCCGAATAGCGCCGGGTCAGTTTCGGGTTTGACCCGAACCCGACCCGTGACCCGAAATTGACACCCCTACTGCATGCACAGTTTCTTAATGAAATTTGAATCATTACATCAAAAGGTTGAACCTGAAACCAATCTATTTACAAGTTTTGGCAACCCTAATTTTACATGTCAAGCTCTTGGAAATTTAGTTTTAGTGGGATTTATATACATAATATATATAATTTTAATATATTTATATATCAAATATTAGAATTTTTATATTTATTTATATAATTCTAAAAATTTTAAATTACATAAAATTATCACCAATATTATTTTTTTAAGAATGAAATAAACATTTTTTTACACATATTTTGATATGATTGATACACTAAAGTATTAGTAAATAAATATAAAAATATGATGCCACATAATTAAATAGATAAGAATTATATGGTGCGTATGTAAATCCCAGTAATTTTTAATTAATGTTAAGGCATTCAAGACTTTAGATTTAGCTTTATATTGAATAGTTAATAAATAAATTGATGAAAAAATATTATATTATTGATCTTCCTATATGATTTTATTCTGATGATTAATGTGATTTATTTCTATTTTTAGAATGATCAAGATTTAAGAGTAGGTGACTTCTATGATGTGTCCGCATGATTAAGAGAGTTCTTAATATATGATATTTGATAATATTGAAATGCTCTCATATGAGAGGAAGTGATTACAAATTCATAAAATTCTTATGTGAAGGAGTATTAAGTAATTTAATGCATTAGACTTAATCACACATCATATAATTAAAAGTAATCTTAATATATGAAAGTAATTGCATTCATTGATGATCAAAAGGCAATGCAACAATGGTATATCAAATTTAATTTTGATATATATTTGATTCTTTCTTGAA